CATTGTCAGGACCAGCACTGACCTGGACAGTCAGCGAGTCATCTACTCAGACAACAACGGCTACCAGATGCAGCGGAGGCCCTACCAGGCGTACGCGGAAAACAGCATCGCCCGGGTATGCCCGGCAGCACCAGGCGCACCCTGATGGCACTTTTCCAGCAGGCCAGAGCTGACCCTTTAGACACCAACTTGGGGCAGTAGAGGCCTCTGCAGAGAAGTCGTTTCAAGTCCCTTGGCCATGAGTCTGCCGACTTTGGAGTTAAGCGCCCAGGCTTGGGGGAAGGCTGGTGTCTAAATTCTGATGCTACTACATACGAGAGATCTTGGTTTGTACCTCAGTTTCCTTCCTCGTCAAAGGGTCGTTCTCAAGGCTGATGAGATGACGCATGTCGTGCTTAGCAGGGACCTGGAGCCATGTCTCCTCGGTCATGTGGCTAGGAAATAGAGCGAGGATCTGAACCCTAGTCTGTTGGTCTCCAAAGTCAGGGCCCCTGCCCCATGCTGCCACTGTACCTGTGGGAGGGCTGGCTGGGGTGGCCAGAGGGTGAGCCCTGAGCAAGTGCTGCCTGACTGCCTGCTGGGATGTCTCTGTGTGCAGAATTACTACCCCATGGTCCAGTCGGCCTTCATCCAGGACAGCAGAAGCAGACTTGTACTGCTGTCAGAGCGGGCGCACGGCATCTCCAGCCAAAGAACCGGGCAGGTGGAGGTAGGAGGAGGCGTGCTCAGTCTCGCTGCATCACCCCTAGCTCCCCATGTGCAGCCCTGGTGCAAGGCAAGGCCTCCTGGGCAACTTCTCTGCAGGTGATGCTCCACCGGCGGCTGTGGAACAACTTCTACTGGGACCTGAACTACAACCTGACGCTGAACGATACCTCCGTCGTCCGCCCGGTGATCTGGCTCCTGCTGGGGTCCTGGCCGGTTACTACTGCCCTGCGCCAGAGGAGTGCGCTGGCCCTGCAGCACAGGCCCATCGTGCTGTTCGGAGAGCTCGCTGGTAAGAGGTGCCCTTCCGGAGTATGTGTCCTCACTGCCCCAGGATGAGCCAGTCTGGCCAAGGCGGACCTTGGGAGGGGTGTGTACCCTCAGGGGCCTGGGCAGTTTGGGGACGGGAGAGGACCTGAGGAATCTCTGGCCCAAACCCTCTTTGGTTTTGGGGGGATTTTTTGCTTTTGTTTTTTTCTTTTTCTTTTTCTTTTTTTAGGTTTCTGTCATAGGGTTTGTGCACTCACTAGAAAGAGACAGAGAGAAAAAGTGAGAAATCACCCCATAGAGGCATGGCTACACTGCAATCCCTTCTCCATTATCCTCTTGGGATTTGGGCACGTGCGTGTGCACACACACACACACACACACACACACTCACACATACCTGACATGCTTTTTAAGCCACTGGGCCCAGGACTTGAACTGTGTGGGCTCCAGCGCCTTAACCACCGTGCCACTTGCCGGCCCCCAAGCCCTCTTTTAAAAGATGGCCAAACTGAGGGTAAATAGTGGCGTGCTCAAAGGGGTACAGCTCGGGAGTGTGGAGCTGGGCCTCCCACCCACCCCATTTCCATCTTCTGCCCCTCTCTGTGTCTTCTCCATTTTCTTCCCCACTGGATGTTTTTCTTTCCTAATATGACATTATATGACCACGCTACTTCAAATCTGGAAGCTCAGCATTTAAAAGCCTGGTTTTGGGGTCAGCAGATGGTGTGGAGGTTAAGATGGCTGATCCCACATGGCCAACCGCACAGTTCAAGTCCCGAACCTGGCAGCTTGAAAAACATGCCACGTGCACTCACGTCCAAACTCCCGAGAGGAGAGTGGAGGAGAAGGGACTGTGGCATGGCCATCCCCCTGAAGAGTGCTTTCTCACTCTCTCTGTGTCTCCAGCGAGCACCACTGTTAAAAACAGAGGAATAAATGGAGGACTGGTTTTAAACCTGGGCAAGCTGCCTTGAGGTAAGAGAGCTTCTAGTCCAGAGTCCGATCTGCAAGGCTGATGCCCTGCCGCCGCTGAGGCCTCTGGAGGGTAGCAGCCATGCACCTCTGTGTCTTTATTAAGACAGCAGAACCCGAGTCACATTAAGCAGGGGGGACGTTTAAACACCGTTCTTTGGAGTAACCTTTAGAGAACTAAGTCCTAAAGACATTACGGTACCACCCTCACAGGTCCTTAACGATTTTCTTTTCTCCTCGGTTGCAGAGGTTTTGACTAGATTTTGCTTTTTTTTTTTTT